TATTCCTTGAGCATGGTTTCAGGGCAATGTTCTCAAGTTGTGAGACATGGCCCTCAGGGGAGGGGCAGGGCAGGGCAAGAGTAGGCCAGCTGATGCGTGTGGAGGGAGGGAAGGGGCAGATAAAAGGGGTAGGCTCCCTGGGGCCCAACATTTCAAAAGGGCCCACAGCGCCTAGCCAACACTGCTGCACCGGTCCCATTAAATTGCCTCCAGAGTCCTGATTGGTGCTCTCTGGGTGGCACTAAGGAGTGCCTGAGGGTGGGGGTTGCAGCAGGGTCCGGGCAGCACTGAGGGCCCCACCCTTTCTGCTCAAGGCCTGCCTCTTCAGGGAGCCGGAGCTGCCCCCCTCTCCAACCTTGCCCTCTGGATGCCCAGAAATTCTGTTGGCCCCCCCGGTTGGGAGCACCATGCTAACAGCCACATCTCCAACCCATTCAGCTCCCAGTCCTGCTCTGTCTCCAGGCCCAGCTCTACTCTCAGTCCAGTTCCAAACCCAGCTGCAGCTCCACTCTGCCCCCTCCTGTTTCTGTCCTCATTCCCTCTCTACCCCGACCAGCTCTGTCTCTAGCACCAACTCCTCTCCATCCCCAACTCTCCCCAGATCTGCCTTCAGCCCAAGCTTCACCACTGAGGAAGGCTTGGCTGTGTAGTAATGGGTGGGGGAGGATGGACAGATTCTGTTGCTAGTAACGGGGAGCACACCTGAAAAAGTTTGACCGCTGTTTTGGGGAATTTTATACTATAGGTTTTGCTGCCTTTCAGATGAGATACAAAACCAAGTTTCTGAACCCTCTTAGTCACTAAAAATTGATAGTACTTACCATAAGAATATTGCTGTTTGGCCCTAGTGTTATGAGCAAATTTCAGTTTAGTGGACATTTTCAGTTTCATATAGTGAAATGCTTCGTTTCTACCAGTCAGAAAATTTTCACTCATTCTACCTTTATTCTTCCTAATATCCAAGATTTTGGAAATATGGGTGTCCAAAATGAGGCTTCCCCGATCCATTTATTTATATCCCAAATAAGGGGTCTATTTTTCAAAGGTAATACATACCCAGAAATTCTCATAGAATTTGATCAGCAGGATCTCCTGATGTATAGCGCTTAAGAAAATCAGGCCTCTTATTTAGGTGCCTAATTATGGCTTGGGAAGACTAACTTTAGGGATCCATTAAAAAAAATCTGGGCCTATATCTTTCTCATACTAGTGCAGAAATATCCCCGAAAATGGTAGACACATTGTAAATGAAGTGATTGCATATTTTGCCTACTCCAATTTACTTCTACATTTTCAGCTGGATTCATTATTTTTTCCTACCTATCTTGAACTACTTTATCATGTTGCTATATGCTGTTACATAGTTTTTATTTTCCTTTCTGAAGACAGTTGCTTGATGGAGGTGAAGTGATTTTATGTGCACAGTGTACAGTTCTTTGGTAGTGTACTATGCTAAGATAGTTTTATGGTATAATAGTTGTGATTTATCTTAAAATAGAGACTTAAAATACAACTTTGTGATTTGTTTTAATAAATAAAAACCTGGACAAGATTTAGAGATGGACTCTGGTTGCAGGGACAAACTTTCACAGAGTCTGAGAGGGTTTACACCTTTGCTGTAGCCTGTGTCTAACAACAAGTTCTTAATAACTAACTGTATAATAGTATGGCTTTCATGATTCACCCTGAAATGTCTGTTAACTAAATGAATGTATTGAAACAGCTTCATACTGCCCCCTGGTGTTATTCACTAAAAAGAAACACATCAGTCAAAATTCTCTTTATCTAACTTGTGATAGAGTGACCTCTTCAGTAAAGTGGATAAGGTTACAATAAGCCCCTATGAAAAATTTGATTGTCCTTGAAAATAAATTATTGCATAGTGCGGCACATTTTCCTAATCTTCCACCTATCTTTTAAATCACCATCCCATTTTACACATTAAAAGAAAAAGCCACTGTTTCTATGGGATTCACACAAAGGAGCATGATTTAATTCTTCATGAGCACCTCACATGGCCTACTCCAGAAATTGTGCTGACATTTAAAACAACAACAATGAGGAGTCCTTTGGCACCTTAGAAGCTAACAGATTTATTAGGACATGAGCTTTTGTGGGTAAAACCGACTTCATCAGATACATTGGACTGGAAAGTACAGAGGCAAGGGTAATATGTAAGTATATGAAAAGAAGTTACTTATCAAGTATTAATGAGGCTATTTTTCTTGGATTAAGAGTAACAAACACATCTCACCAGCCAATGATACAACCACGTAAAAATCAACTGGGGGTAAACCAGGAGTGTAATCATAGAACCATAGAATCCTAGGGCTGGAAGAGACCTCAGGAGGTCAATGAGTCCAGTCCCCTGCCCAAAGCATGTTCATGAGTACTACAATATTAAGGGATTTTTTTTTTTGTAAAGGCAAGTCAGTTAAAAGTATCAAATGTGAAGCTTCTTTGTACACATCTGTGACTGGATTAATTTAATAGCAATGCAAAATATGTATCTATCTTGCAACTGTGGTAGATTTTTCATGGATGACTCCACAGCTGTGGGTCAGCGTAACTATAAGCCTGATACTTCTTTGTTCTGTTAGATAAAATAATAGCAATGAGATATTATAATGTTGATATAATGATGTATCTTTGAGATCGTAATATTGCATCCTCATGGAGGACTGATAATATTTCCTTTTAGGTTGCTGTTTGATTCCAGTTCTGCTCAGCAGTTATCTAAACTTCTTATCATCTAAGGATTATATGCCATATACTTTTCATAGATTTTACTGGCATGAGAGAGATTCCATATACTGTACATTCTCTTTATATAGGGACCCATAGCATAGGCTAGTGACTAAACTTATATTTTAAAATTTTAAAGTGTTGGCTAGGATTGGTAAAAACAGTCAACTCAGTAAAATCTTTCAATTTATCTATATGATCTGTATCAGAGGGGTAGCCATATTAGTCTGAATCTGCAAGAATGACGAGAAGTCCTTCTAGACTAAAAGATTTATGCACGTGACATGCATCTGAAGAAGTGGGTCTTTGCCCACGAAAGCTTATGCTCCAATAAATCTGTTAGTCTATAAGGTGCCACAGCACTTTTCGTCGTTCTATATGATCTGTTTCACTCTAGTACATTAATATAGTATACAACATGACTACTTTCTAATCAAGCCAAAATAAATGAAAGACTAAGCTTACTTTATAGTGTCAAACCTTTCCACATCCCCTTCCTTATTAAGGCCTGCTATGTTTAGATTATTCCTTCTCACTTGCTTTTCAATTTAAAGAAGTACAGCTGCTTTGAAATATTTTAATTAATAATTGTGTTTAAATCATGTCAAAAACATGTTTTTTTGCAAAATAACTGCTTTGATCTGTCACTTCCTTTTCTTGCTAAAGATGCTTAAGAAAACATCTGATTAATTTCTGACTCAAAGACAAAATATTGGCAGATACCTTTCCAAGAAAGGCATGAATCTGCAAGCTGCAATTATTCTCAACTTCCATTGGTTTCTAAAGTATGGAAGCTCCTTTGAGATGTTGTTCAGTTCTCCTAATAATTGTGTCTCTAGCTGTTAGAAATACAAAATTTAAAACTCTCATAATAACAGCTAACAATATTGGGAAATTGTTATTACAGTAAATATTTCTGGATGGCCATCAAAATTCCAACAACATACTGGAGGGAATGTTTTGATACAGGCACCATTTTAATATCTTCTGAGAATAAGAACTGAAAGACAATCTACTGTAAACTTTCTTGCACAAGAATGGGCTTGTAGTGTGGACGCTCCGCAAGTCGTTCTTGCGCAAGAAGCCTGCAATGTAGACAGCCTTTGTGAATGCAACATTTAAGGACCAGATTGTGAACCCCTTTACTTGCATTGATGACACACTAGTCTCATAAAAACAAAAAGTTCTGTGACACATTAAAGACTAAGGGTATGTCTACACTACCCCGCTAGTTCGAACTAGCGGGGTAATGTAGGCATACTGCACTTGCAAATGAAGCCCGGGATTTGAATTTCCCGGGCTTCATTTGCAAGTGCGGTATGCCTACATTACCCCGCTAGTTCGAACTAGCGGGGTAATGTAGGCATACTGCACTTGCAAATGAAGCCCGGGATTTGAATTTCCCGGGCTTCATTTGCAAGTGCGGTATGCCTACATTACCCCGCTAGTTCGAACTAGCGGGGTAATGTAGGCATACTGCACTTGCAAATGAAGCCCGGGATTTGAATTTCCCGGGCTTCATTTGCAAGTGCGGTATGCCTACATTACCCCGCTAGTTCGAACTAGCGGGGTAGTGTAGACATACCCTAACAGATTTATTTGGACATAAGCTTTTGTAGTCAAAAAACTACTTTGTCAGATGAAATGGAAATATTTAAAGAGTAAGGGACCACTCATAGACTCATAGACTTTAAGGTCAGAAGGGACCATTATGATCATCTAGTCTGACCCCCTGCACAGTGCAGGCCACAAAATCTCACCCACCCCTCCTAGAATAATCCTCTCACCTATATCTCAGATATTGAAGCCTTCAAATACTTTGAAGACCCCAAGATGCAAAGAATCCTCTAGCTGTGATCTATACCCCATGCTACAGAGGAAGGCTAAAAACTTCCAGGGCCTCTGCCAATCTACCCTGGAGGAAAATTCCTTCCCGACCCCAAATATGGCGATCAGCTAAACCCTGAGCATGTGGGCAAGACTCATCAGCTAGACACCCAGAAAGTTCTCTATAGTAACTCCTATCATCCCTCCATTGACCTATTTCCCACTGATAATGAATGGTCACTCAAGATAATGATGATAAAATCTGTTACTTCATGTATTTATTCATAGAACAACTTAGCTCACAGCATGCATTAATAGAATTTTCTTGTACATTACTCTTGAGCAGATCCATGATGAGACTTTTCTCCTAGAGATTAAAATTAGAAGATGATAGTCATTGTCTATCATCATTTTAAATTGCCATGTACCTACCTGACATGAGGTGTTGGATTTCCAGCAACTCTGCACTCCAGCAGCACCTTGCTTCCCTCAGCCACTTCCTGGCTCCGGAGTTTCTGGGTAAATCGAGGAGCTGAAGACTGATAGCTGCCTGCATTAGTGAGCTTGTGGTGGAAGGCAGTTTCACTTTCTTGAGTGACATTTTTCCTGTCAGAGAAGGGCTCTCCATTCTGACAAGCCTCAGGTAACTGTACTTCAGGTTTCGTTTCTGGATATGCTTTGACAGGACTCTGATTCACTGAGGCATTTATCATGGCTGACTGTTTCTTTTTAGGGGATAGGTATCCACTGTCTGGAGAAGAGGAGTCCCCATCAGGACTCCTGCCTCTTGCCTTTGCTGCTTCTCTAAATATGGAAGAGAGTTCCTCAATGAACATGGCAGCCTTGTCACACAGCTTGTTCTTGAAAGGAGCATCTCCCTGGGACATTGGTTTGGATTTTGGGCTTGTCTTTTGTGTACCTGTACTACGTCTCTCTGCATTTCTTAGGCTCCGAATAAAGCTGGGGCTAGCTGTTAGCAAGGGTGAGATGCTGCCTTGCCTCCCAGGGACCGAGCTTGCTGCCAGATGGGATGTGAGTGGTTGCTGTTTCTGTTGCTCTGGGAGACTTTGAGCTGTGCTGAATAGTGGATTTGGGCTACCCAGTTGAGGCCTTCCCACAACTTCTTGTTCTTGCACTTTGGACTTCCTGGAAGAAGCATATTCTGATGAGTTTGAAGAAGTGTTGAAATGATGACTGAACTCCTGCTCTGCATTTGGATCCCCTGTCACTGAGTTAGCAATAGCTTCTCTGGCAAGATCAAGGCTTTTACTTATCTCCTCCTTGCTGAGAAATGCAGATAGCTCATTTGAAACCTCTCCATCCTGTATATCTGACAGGGAATCATAAAAAAAGTCCTGGAAAGAGGAAGCCTCTGACATGTTTTCATGGGCCCTTTTCTCTGCAGAGTAAGCATCCTTCCGCACTAAGGGTAGAGGCACCACCTGCTCGTGCCTTCTGTCTTGCATGCTGAAAGAAAATGCACATAATTTCTATAAGGAGTGTGACAATAAAACACTTTATATGCTTGTGTAGTGTAACTGTAAATTCACTATTTACAAATGACAGGATACAAAAGCAAGTGAGAAAAATCAAATCCTAATGGTGTAAGAATTATCTGTAACATGATTATTCACATTGAGTTATAAGGGGTCAGACTGACACTGAGCAAGAGCAGGCTGGTTACAAAGTAAGGGTATGTCTACACTACAGCACTAATTCTAACTAACCTAATTCGAATTAGCGCATCTAAACTTAAAAACTAGTTCGACTTAGCGTTTTGCTAATTCGAACTAGCATGTCCACATTGAGTGGACCCTGAACCGAAGTTAAGGCTGGCCGGAAGCAGTGCCAGCAGGGCATCAGGTTACGACTTAGAGTAGTGGTCTCCAACCTTTTTACCCCCAAGATCACTTTTTAAATCTCCGAATAGGCGAAGATCTACCGCCCCGCCCCTTCCTTGAAGCCCCACCCCTTTTTGAAGCCCCACCCCTTTCTTGAAGCCCCGCCCTCTCTATTCTCCTCCTGTCCATCATTTGCTATCCTCAGCCCTTACTTACTCTGATAAACAGTTTATTTTTAAATTCTGCGATTTATAAAATTAAAATCACGTGTTTATAGTTATGAAATAAATGGTCTGTTTTTTATTCATGCTATTTAAATCTAAAATGAAGCATTTATAATTATACATTTTGTGGGGACAGAGTTCTGCGGCTGGGGGCAGGGTAGAGGGAACAGGGTGCTGAGAGGGCAGAGGACAGGGTTCTGCAGCAGGGGACAGAGTGCCAGTGGGGACAGGTTTCTGCAGCTGGGGACAGGGTGCCAGTGGGGACAGGAATAGGGACAGAGTTCTGTAGCTGGGGACAGGGGAGTGGGGACAGAGTTAAGGGAGTGAGGACAGGGGAGTGGGGACAGAGTTAGGGGAGTGGGCACAGAGTTCTGTGGCTTGGGAGAGTGGGCTGGGGAGTGGGGTGCCAGTGGAGGCAGAGAGTCCCCTGTATCTGCCTCCTCCCAGGATTCCCCCGCCCCCAGAGGGAAAGCAGCACGTGCCTGCCCCGGGGCCGACCCACCCGCGGCGCAGGGAAGCTCCGCGCGCGCACACCTGCCCCGGAGGCCAACCCCCCAGCACAGGAAACCCCGCGCGCGCGCCTCCCCCAGGGCTGACTCACCCCTCCTGTGTGGTGCAGGGAGCCGATGCTCCCTCCCTCAGTACACCCGGCAGAGCAGCTAGTGCTACTTCCGGAATTGCTGGAAGTAGCGTTAAGCTGCGGGACTTCTGCCCATCCCCGGGAAGCCTACACTACCTCCATTTTCACATCAGGTAAGTAGTGGGGCTTCTTGGGGGTGGGAGCGAAATGGGGGCGGGGTGGACAGGACACCTCGCGATCGACTAGTCAAGGCCTCAGATAGACCAGTCGATCACGATCGACCTGTTGACGACCACGGACTTAGAGTGTAGAGCTGCTGTCTCAGGCTAGCCGAAGTCTGTGCTTAAAGGGACGTGACCCCCACCCCGGACAGACAGTTCTCAGGGTTCCCCGCTTGCTTGTCTCCCTCGATGAGGGACAGCAAAGCGGTCCTGTCTTGGAGTGCCGTGAGTTCCCACACTCAGCACATCACAGTACTTGGCCATCAGCCAGGCTGCAATTGCTGCAGGCTGCCATCCGGGGGGACAATCGGAGGGCTGTCAGGATCCAGGAGACCCTGCAGGAGAGCTTCGACCCCGAAGAGCCCGCAGAGCCACCCCAGTCCTCCCCATCAGGGGCTCGTACCCCATTCCTCCCTCGTCTCCTTCCACTTACCCCTCCCTACTCCGCCTTCCTAATGTAAAAAATAGAGGACACGTGTTCAAAAATAGAAACTCTCTTTATTTAACAAAATTGGAGGGGGGGATTAACATCTGGGGAGAGGGGAAGAGAGAGGGTGGGAGAGGGGAGGGGGAAACCTGTGAGGAGGGAGCTTGAAGGGGGAAGCCAGGGGAAGAAGGAGGAGGGGAAGTATTAAACTATGGTACACCCACATCTTCAGTACTGTGTACAGATGTGATCTCCTCACCTCAGAAAAGATATTTTGGCCTTGGATAGGGTTCCGAAAAGGGCAACTAAAACGATCAGAGGTTTGGAACAGATCCCATATGAGGAGAGGCTACAGTGACTGGGACTTTTCAGTTTGGAACAGAGGAGACTGAGGGGGGGTATAATAGAGGTCTATAAAATCATGATTGGTGTGGAGAGGGTGCATAAAGAAAAGTTCTTCATTAGTTTCCATAATAGAAGGACTAGAGGACACCAAATGAAATGAATGGACAGCAGGTTTAAAACTAATAAGCAAAAGTTCTTCTTCACACAGCACATAGTCAACCTGTGGAACTCCTTGCCACAGGATGCTGTGAAGGCTAGAACTATAACAGAGTTTAAAGAGAAGATAGATAAAGTAATGGAGGTTTGGTCCATGGAGTGCTATTAGCCAGGGGGTAGGAACGGTTTCCCTGGCCTCTGTTTGTGGAAGGCTGGAGAATGATGGCACGAGACAAAGGGTATGTCTACACTACAAAGTTAATTCGAACTCACAAACGTTAGTTCGAATTAACTTTGATAGGTGCTACACAGGCAAACCGCTAGTTCAAACTTAATTCAAACTAGCGGAGCGCTTAATTCGAACTAGGTAAACCTCATTCTACGAGGACTAACGCCTTGTTCGAATTAAGTAGTTCGAATTAAGGGCTGTGTAGCCA